GCGGTGAACAAGTGGTGGCGGTGGTGGATAAAACCAGACAGCGACGAGGGACGGTGAGGGAGACGGTGGACAAGTGGTGGACAAAAACTTTAATGTTACTCATCACCAAAGACAAATCCGTTATTCCAAATCTTTCAAATAGTGAATTGTGGCATTTTCAACAAGCCATCAGATTTATGGCATTTTTTGTAAAAAATTTATCTAAAATGGCATTTTTTTGTAAACTTCCCATACATAAATCATATTCGAAATCTGTTTACGTTTAAAATCGATATATTGCTACAAAGCTCATTATGAAAAGCATTAAACCCAATAAGAAAGACCAAAACAGGAGTTTATATTATACTTTATCAAAGGTATAATGAAATTGGGGTGATTAAGATTGCCGAGAAGATAGTCGACCTCTTTACGAGCATTTTAATTTGACCTCCTCAAATATTATTTAATTAGGACAAATTTACATATTAGGATCCAGAGACCCAACTATTTTGTCGACTGACGCGCCAGTCAATTCCTTTTCTGTCCACGGATAGTTTTTTAATTTTTATAATTAGAAAGCTGTATTGGAATCTTATACTATAAAACACAAATCAATGTTTATTGTGTGACGCTTTGGAATTTATGCATGGAATATGGCTACTCATGTTACTACATTCTCTCTCTTTTTTTGTCACTAATCTATATATGGCTACTTAATTAAGAGTCTATATGATCAAAATTTGACGAGACGTTAATGCAATATGAATGATCTTCAGAACTTTATATGACTTACAAATATTTCAAATCACTATGATCTATATTATTAGTGCTGTTTCTTGAAACTATCATGATTAAAAAAAAGTAAGGTATATTCAACAAAGTTAAAAGAAAACATGTGGAAAAAGGTTCTCGACAAATTCTGCCAGAAACCCTTTTCTTAGTTAAAACTTTAAACACGTAAATATAACTATTAATTTTGCAATCAAATGGAGAACAATATAAGAAAATAAAAGTTAATATGCTAACGTTAAGACATCCATGCATTTATAATAATTTTTTACAAAGGTGTTCTCGTTTTATCTCGAAACGACCTCTGAAGCAAATTCAGAAAATCTCAAACTATAACAAGATTTGTTATATTCGACGGATCATGTTGGACCGTAACAACACTACCGTTATCGCAAGGCCACGTGGCACAGTTTGAGCTCCGTTCGATATGAAGAAACATCAAAATTTGTCTGAGATTCAACAGCTTATCTTGGAGAATACGGTGCTCCAAACGTAGACGATCATTCTCCGTTTTTGTTCGTTGACAATGGTATAAAACGTACCGAAACTGGTTCGCCAATTCCCGGTTTTCAATCTTGAGCTGGTTTAGCTGAATACTCAACTCCTCCAAGTGCTTTTCTTTCTTCACCCTTGACCGCCTAGCCGATTCCCGGTTCGATAATTTCCGTTTCTTTCTCCGATCATCGGTATTCTCCGTTGGAGAAACGTCTAAACCAGTCCGGTTTACCCGACCAGGGTTTACGTAGTCCGGTATTAGATCCATTGATGAGCCGAAGACCGTAAAGAGGTGTGAAATGTCCAATGGAGTGAATCCGGTTTCGAAAGCTGGGACAGGGGTTACTAGACCCGGTTCAGATGAGAAAACCGGAGAAATAGTAGACATCATGGTTTAATTATGCTTAACAAAAAAAAAAGAAACAACTTTTTTTTTCTCTCCAAGTGAGCTAGAAGGGGGGAAAAGGGAAGAATTGCATTGTTGGAGGCCCTTTTTTATGGGCATTAGACGAGGGTATTTTGGTGAGAGATTAGTAAAATATTGATGGTACTTTTTAGGGGTGGGCA